TATCTATCTATCTATCTATCTATCTATCTATCTATCTATCTATCTATGATATGTCTGTCTGTCTATCTACAGTATCTATCTATGTTGTCTGTCTGTCTATACAGCCACACAGCTCACCAAAAAGGACCCAGGGCAGTGCACAACAATGAGATAACATACCACAGCTGTTGTTCCTATTCATTTTCCCCTGTTAATTTCAGCCCCACTACTGCAGCCCAAACTAGTGAAAATGTTGGGAATACCCTTTCTGTTTTCTAGAGCATTGGCTGGGCCACCAAGTTTGATCCCGTCTAGTTCCTTGGATTCGTTGCTCCACCTTTCATTGATACCACCAAGAAGTAGCCTTTCCAATTACCGAACAGAACCACTTCACCAAAAGCGAATTTCTTTTCCGCCAGAAGTCTCACCGGCAACCATCCCCGGTAGCGGCAGAAAGGAAGGACGGCCTTCCATCGGGGGTATTTTGTCCTCAAATGCAGCCCCTCTAAATACCTCCTGGTTGGCAGCTTCCAGCTTCCAATGCAAAGTGGGATCTTCCAGTGGGAAGACTCGGGGCGCCCCGAAGGGCTTCGGTGCCCCCTCAAAATCCGCACGGGGGTTGTAGTTGTGATTCAGGCTGGGGGGGAGGGGGCAGGAGAGGCTCTTTTTTCATCGTGGGTTGGACCCTACCTCCCATTATCCCTGGTCACTGGCCATATCGCCTGGGAGCCTCGCGGGAAGGGGATGTCCAGGGCATCAGCTGCAGGGGTCGCCGGTCCCCTCCACCCAGCCACCCACCCTTCTGTGTGTGTGTGTGTGTGTGTGTGTGTGTGTATGTCTCTGTCTGTCTGTCTCTGTGTCTGTCTGTCTGTCTGTCTCTCCCTCTCTCTCTCTATGTCTTTCTCCCTCCCTCCCTCCCTCCCTCCCTCTCTCTCTCTCCCCCTCTCTGTCTCTGTCTTCCTGTCTCTGTCTCCCTCCCTCTCTTCTTTCTCTCTCTCTGTCTCTCTTTCTGTGTTTGTCGCTCTCTGTGTCTCTCTCTGTTCTCTCTCTCTCCCTCCCTCTCTTTTTCTTTCTCTCTCTCTCTGTCTCTGTCTTCCTGTCTCTGTCTCTCTGTCTCTCCCT